CTATCCCGTGCTGCGAGGGCCCTGCAGAACCGGCAGGTCTGCCTAGAAGGGAGCCAGAACCGGGCCTGTGTGCGCAGGTGTGGGAGGCCCAGGGTGCTCAATGAAAACAGTTGCAGGGCATCAGAACAAAAACGGTGTTTTGACACTTGTGGCAAAGTGGTTTTTCTCTGCTCCCGGATAAAGGGACAAGTTGGCACGAGCTTGTGCTTTAAAGACAGCTACAGGACGTCCACTCTATTGAAAGTAATGGAATGCAAGACTGGGAAAATGCTTATGAGAGAAAATGGTAGGGAATGTTCTTTTCAGACACATTTTGTTCTGTTTACACCTACTACAAATATGCTTGTTACAAATATCTAGACAATACAGTTATTGTTAAAAAATAACAAAAAAAGATTTAATTAGGACTAATATTAAACAGAAAAAGGAGATAGGTAATACTAATCAAGTACTTCCTTGTGAATAAATACTTCTTATTGTCATAACAACATATAAAATCTCGTCCTTCCCCAACTTGAACAGTGAATTTCTCAAAGTTATTGGAAATTTAGAAAATATTGGCTATGACCATGGAAGGGTAAATAAATGGGTTATTCTAATGCATGCATGTTATGACATCTGTGCACAAAATAAAAGCTTGTGTTGAGTACTTGTAAGATATTGCTGATTTAAATTGTGTATGTATCATAAACCTGCTTGGAAGTGTTATTTGTCTGACACTTAATAGTTCTTCTGATCTAGGCTGCCTGTACTTTGTCTTCTAGTAACCTGTTTTTTCCTCAGAAATAGGTCCATATGTTTTATAGTGTCTTGACTTCTAGAGCCAAGATGAGTTACTTTCTGTAGCCAAGTCTAATTACTAGATGATCTTTTATTTATGGATCAGTAGTTATTTGTTCTTATAATTTTATGTTGGTAAGCCATCATGAGGACAATTCAGGAATAAAGGAGGAAAGTGGTCCTTGCGACTTCCCTTTCTAGATTCCATTCCTTGGAGTTGTTTGCTCAGATGAAAGTTGTTGGTGTTTTTTTTTAATATATAAAATGTTGAATAGAAAGTCTAATAATTGCCCTGCTGAGTTTTGCTGATCAAAAATAGCATCAGAGTGCTAACAGTACTAGCATGTGTGTGCATGTATGTATAAAGCACTGTGTATATGCTTATGCAGTTGGGTGTTAAAAACGTCCAATCCTAAAAGGAGTCTTTGCAGGATGGCAAAAGTAACAATTTTCCCCTTTCTCTGTCAGCTGTTTTTATTACTTCTCTGAAGTGCTTCCTAGCAGCATATTCATCTTTTTGTGGATGTGTTTGTGTGAAAATGAATCTGCTTCAAATTCTGTCAGACAGCAGTTATTTAATAATTAATTAATAGTTTTTTTTTTTTTGCCAATACAAGTATGAGTTTAATGTTTTGCTTACCCATAAAATGATGGGATTATGTTCTGGAACATTTGAGCATGGCACTGATTTCCCGTGATGTGGGTTTTGCTCTTGATTTTGTATTTTGTTGTTTAATATTTTTGAGCAGAGTGTTGGATCTCTGGTTACAGAAGAGGAATAATGGCTTTTACCTTTTAGAACGCTTTTACTGCAGTGTCTTAATACTGGCTGAAGAAGAGTGTTCTTGAAAAGTCACCACAGTTATAAGAAACTGTATATTGTGGTCCAAAATAATATTGATGCAGACTTATTTCCATTTTCAGATGTATTCACTGTTTATTACACAACTTATTACATAATTCCCCATTTTAGGTGTCCAAAGTGATTGTATTTACATTATATATTTTATAAATATAGCATAATACCTATTGTATTGTATTATAATGTGGTAAATAGCATATAAATATTTCAGGAAGCAGATATTTTTAAGCTTGGATCAAAGTGTCCTGGAATTTAGTGCACCTTGTGAATTAAGTTTGCATAGCAATTCGTGAATGGTTAGCATTTGGATGAAAGAGGATTTGAGATTAAGATTTCTTAAAGGCGGTACTACCTGCTTCCGTAGCCCTCTATTTTTGTGTGAAATTATCTTTTCCATAATTTCTGCATTACAGTGTCTTTAGCCTATTACAAAAGCATCTTAGTTTCTGCATGTTTTTTGGGGAGGATTTTCTTTTGAGGGGGTGGAATCAAGAGTGTTGTAGATTGCCTAAAACAATAGGAAGCTTAACAAAAGTATACAAAAGTATAGCTAGAAAGTTTGCATAAATGGGGGATTGTATTAACTGTTTTTAATTATACCTGCAGGATCTTTTTTATCTGTTGGTGGCAAATTCAACAAGTAAGCAACTTCAATGAACTGAAAAGGTTTATGACATCACTTTAGTTGTAAAAGATGCCATAGCTGAAGTGAGTTTTATGCCACTGGAGATGCTGCAAAGAAAATGAAACTCTATGCCACAACAGAAACGTGCAGAATTTTCTGCTGTGCTGTTGCATATTTCAGGACCTGTGTTTCGATTTGTTAACTTTTGATCTGAGTCGCTAAGAGTGACTTATATATTCTGAGAAATCAAAATTCCTTATTTACATACAGTGAAATCCCTTTCTATACTCTTCAATATGTCTAAGTTTAAATAAATTTGAGTAAGTTTCAAACCGAAGAACAAAATCGATCCAAGAAAAGATTGTTGTTTGATTATTTTTTAGGGTTAATAATACTTCTAGAATTCAACTTTGTGAATTTCTTAAAACCCAGAGGGGATCCAGAGTGCCCAAAACATAAATAAGAGTGATAAAGAATGATCATGCTTGAACTCCTGGATACTTGGGAAAGTAAGTCCATACTTTTTTTTTTTAATGGTATATTAAACCTTTGAAAGAAAAGTGAGTGTTGCATGTGTCTATCATATTACTGCCTCTGTACCATAAATGTTCCACAGGGTTTTTGAGGCATTTGGCACAGTATGGTTTCTTTAAACTGTTCTTCAGGCCTTGTCTTTTCTCGCAAAAATCTCGCTTTTAGTTGTCATGTGCTCATGAATGATGGCTATTACATAACCTCTGGATAACAATTTCAAAAAAGAGTGAGGATTTCAACAGTTATTTCTGCATACTGTAGTGCTATGATTTATGTGATGTATGTTAAACAGCTTTTAATGTTCATTCTATATAGTGCAATCAAAGCTTGAAAAATCTGGTTGGTGCACAAAGGCTTATTTTAGACATTCCTTCCTAAGCTCTAAGTGTTCTCTCAACTATCAGGGGAAGCACCTATAATCATCCTTTCTGTTGCCCAAGGTTGTTTTATGTGTGTAGGTATGCATATATAAATATCTATATATACATAGATAATATAGAGTGTAAATTGGATGGAGAAGTGTATCATTATGTATATTTTCAGTCACCGGGAGGCTGTTTTTGGCAGCATGTTATATTGACCTCAATAGCCCATATATATGAGCCAAAAGCAGACAATACTCTATTTGTACCATTTATTGTGCAAATCCCTTTAGTGCAATATTTTTTTAAATCCATAAAAGCAATACTGTCATTATCTCATTTGAGATTAATAAATTAGTTTCATCTTTTCTAAAGACTGGAGAGTTCTCAAGAAAATAATGGCTTAAATTTAGGAAGAATTGATGCAAAAATTGATACTTCATATTTACATAGTACTGCTTTTATGATATTTATTATAAGTATGTGTTTTTTTAATGACTTCTATGTTACTTACTTATTATCTTCTTAAAACTTTCTTATGAATGTCTGGGTAACAGTGAAGAGGAATGTCAGAGCATACTGTGGATATGACCAAAGTCAGTTTGCCTTGCGGAGTGCCTTTCTGTTTCAAATGACTTGTCTCTCCCCAGGACAGTTCAGTTAGAAGTTTCCACTTGGAGCAAGCTGTTAAAAAAAAAATCATGAAAGGTTCCATTTTAGCCTTTTCAAACTCTAATAATCTTAGAGATTATTTCAAGAATAAATCTCTTTGTCTTAAAAGAGCTACCAGCTTGCCAGGGTTGGTAATTAATTATTATTATGGTATGGTACCCTCCTGAAAAATATTTTGGTTAGTTCTGCTGTAATTGGTTTATACTGTTATCAATTTCACTGTGTAGACAAATAAAATGATACCTTTTAGTCTATGGTAATATAATCTGAAAATGAACATGATTTCCTAGATAGTGTTATTGAGGATTCTTATGAATAAAGATCATCATTATTTTCTAAGCATTGTCCATCAATAAAACATTGCATTACATTCAGTGGTGACTGCCTCTCTGACAAGATGTGTAATGCAGAGATTTTTGCATGGGTCTTGCCTGTCTAAATCCATGTGAGAAAGTTGGGGTACCCTGGTACTAACCCAGCAATATAGTTGCAGGCTCAGTGCAGTTCTTGCTAGTCCTGCCTACTCATTAAGTTTGTATTCACTGGCAACCTCATCAGGACCTCTTCCATGAGAGATATTTAAGCTTGAGAGCTTGACTGGCTGAAAGCAGTGGAGGGATTCTCTTCTGTCAAGCACTGTTGCTTTTTAATTTTTTTAAAAAATTTATTTATTTGTTTGTTTTACTTAACACTTTCTTCAAATGTTTTCAAAATCACAAGAAGCAGGAAGTGTTTCGGAAGGAAGAAACTGAGGTGGAAAAGTTGCAACGATTGCATTGCTGTACCTTGTTCACTTCCACTTTTTAAGAACGTATGTGTATAGAGGCTCATTGTGTGCTGCTTTTGTCACTGTTTTGTATACTTGCTCTGTTTTCTGTTACTTTCAGTGTGGTGTGCTTTCCCCGATCTGAGTTTGTTTTTTGCTGCTTGTCCACTACACGGACACATCGGGCTTATTGATCTTCAATTCCATAGTCCTCTCTGCTCACTATCAGGATCCATGTGCCGCTTGCTCAAATGAAGATGTTAATGGCAAACTTTTCCTTTTCTCAAGAGACAACCTCCAAGAACAATGATGTAGATTTGCTTATGTAAAGAAGACTAGAATTTCTAACTGTGTCATGCAAGGATTGTTAAGGATTCCTCTTCTATCTATGACCTCTTCTTCTTGACACCTATGCTTTCTCTGGCATGTGTTCGCAGTTCGTTTGTCATCCATATTCTAGGAATCTAGCACATTTGCAAGTGCTAAGATACCTTAATCAAAAGAAAGTAATTGCTCTGTCCCAAGAAAGGTGTAAAGTGGCATAAGTGATGTTGATCCATGTCATTTCAGGTCCAAAAGGTCTTCCTCAGTGTAACAGAGAGAAGTTCAGTCAAGGATATCCTGCTGATGATGCTGTAAACATTGCATAAGCCCCATACATTAAAGACAGTGACCTATGTTGGGTTAATTAGGAAGCCTACTGCCCTGTAAAAAGGAAAAGGATGTTGCTAAATACATATTCTAACTGCTGAGCCTTCAGTTTTCCCAATAGAGTGGACACATCCAATAAGGCCTTGAAGAGTGTGCTCAGAATAACAAAGTTATTCTGTCCATTTATTGACTATATTAGTGTTCATTTGGTTTTTGTTCCTTGCTTTGGTGTTTTTTTTCTGATCTACTTCTCACTTCTTCAAGTAGCTTTGCTTTCTGAATGAGAGAACTACCTTACCAAAGCTTTCTTTGCAAAGCTGTGATCGTATCACTTCTGATAACCTTCTTGTAGTCCTTACTTCCCTCATTGGTGTAAGAGCAAGTGAAATATCTTCTTCCCTGCTTTTAAATAACAATTGCAAAAACTCAAATGAAAGCCTAGTTTACTTGTTCTGTTGTACTGTGTGACACAGTGGTAGTTTACAAAACATGGTTAACAATTCTGATAATCTGATTGAGGATGCAGTGTGGGAGTTTCTGACGGTTTTCGCACTTGACTAACATTATGTCTTGATTTAGGAAGCTGGCTGTCTTATTTTACAGCTAAATAGAGGCTCTGTTTTTGAAGATAATGGATAGTAATTTTAGGTCCAAGTCAGCTGATGTATCTTGAATTCTTCCTTGTAGACTTCTTATCATATTCCTGGTTGTTGATGATGTTTTAGCGGAGTTCTTGAATTTTCATAGTTTGTTGATTTAAATTGTGTGTGTCCTATGTAAGAAAAGACACAGATGGGGGTAAAAAAAAAAATCCTGTAGTAAGTTTTGATACACTGGACATGCTTCTTGTATCCAAAGTCAGCAGATGATGAGACCTGTTTGCTCAACTAGAAAAACAGATATGGTTGTTACATAATATGATTAGATTTCTGTCTTAATATTGGAAGAATAGTAATAAAAGACTGAAAATTCTTGGGCAGATGATTAGGAGTACAGTCCTGGAAGTAAGGTGTTGCCTGCTGAAGAGCAGTGTGCATTTGGCTTATGTGATAATACTTTATGAAAAAATTGCTGAAGTGCTTTTCTTTAGAAAGCCTCTTGAAACCACAGTTCCCAGTGTATGAGGAAAGTTTGGGAACTTACAGATTTGGTGTTGGTTTAGACTTTAAATAGCAAATCTTTGTAGCTAGGAAGTTAGTGCAGTGTCAGAAAGATCTATAATAAGTTTCAGAAGAATATGCAATAAGACTTGGATTGCTCAGATCATAGTTTATTTTAAAAGGGGAGGGGGCAACAAATATGGAACAATTAGGTACCGAATGCTGCAAAATTGTAAACCTGCAAATATATATGTAATGGAACCATAAAAAGAAACAAAAAATGGTAAGATCCTAGGTAGTTCCCATTCTTTTTCTTCAAATACTGCTGCACATAATGACACCAATTCTGTAATGTCTGGAAACTTGTAGCACCCTGGGTAAGCAGTGTGGACTGGGTGAAATGTCGTCTTCAATTTAAATTTCCTTGTTCTGTGATGGCAGTATTGATTGTGTGTGTGTGTGTGTATGTATGTATGTATGTATAAGTTGTTTGGGTTATTTTCTAAGGAAGTCATTTTTGTCTAGACCAGAAGTGTCATTGATACAGTACATTCAATTCCTTTGAAATAAATTTGACCTCTATAGATCTATGGAATACTTTTAAAAATATTTGTGACTGAAAATATATTTGCTATAGGATGTTACTTATTACTGACAAACAAATTTCATAATGAAATATATGTTTGCATGCTGAAGTCCTAAAGCAAACAAACCAAATACTATAAATACATACAGTAAGCAGTGAATGAATCTTGGGCTTTCCTTTAATAGGTTTCTCAGACTTAATGAAATACCTTCCAGAAGTCATTCTTAGGTAATTTAACAATGTAGTTTCCTGTGATTAGCAATATAGTCTCTTAAAGATCCAGTAGCAATTCTGAAGATTTTGACCTGCTTAGCAACTTTATTAATCTTCAGGGATGGTGGGAATATTGTTCTGCAGCTTTTACCAAGGAGTAAAAGTAGAAAGTTTCTTTTTGGTTAGACCTAGAAACACCCAGGGAGCCTGTGATATATCATGAGTAATTGAATTGCAAAGATTGCAGAGGTGTAATTTCAATGATAGAAGTGTGAAAAACTGAGATCCTATTCTTTGTATTATATGAAATATTTATACAAACTGTTCTATTTTAACAATTTATATAGTTCATTGTGACTATTTAACTTCACCATGTGTAAGCATTGATTTTTAAATTTAAATTTGTGTATCCGTCCTCAGTAGTAAAACCTCCTTTTTTTTTTTTTTTCCTTTCAGATTACACCTTACATCAGTAGAAATGGACAGCAGCAGTTTCATTCAGTTTGATGTGCCTGAGTACAGCAACACTGTTCTGAGCCAATTAAATGAACTCCGCTTGCAAGGAAAGCTATGTGACATAATTGTGCATATTCAGGGTCAGCCATTTCGAGCCCATAAAGCAGTTCTAGCTGCCAGTTCTCCATATTTCCGTGACCATTCAGCATTAAGTACCATGAGTGGCTTATCAATATCAGTTATTAAAAATCCCAACGTTTTTGAACAGTTGCTTTCATTTTGTTACACTGGAAGGATGTCCTTGCAGCTAAAGGATGTTGTCAGTTTTCTAACTGCAGCTAGCTTTCTACAAATGCAGTGTGTCATTGATAAATGCACACAAATACTGGAGAGTATTCATTCAAAGATCAGTGTTGGTGATGTTGACTCTGTCACTGTTGGTGCTGAAGAAAATTCAGAAAATCGCAACGGAGTTAAAGACAGCAGCTATTTTGCCAGTCCTATTGAGATATCTCCCCCCTATTGCTCTCAGGTGCGACAGTCAACAGCAGGCAGTGATCTTAGGATGGAAACTACTCCAGGCAAAACTCTACGCAGTCGTCTGCAAGAAGAAGGGCATTCGGATCGAGGAAGCAGTGGGAGTATGTCTGAGTATGAGATTCAGATTGAAGGTGATCATGAGCAAGGAGACCTAATAGTAAGGGAAAGTCAAATTGCAGAGGTGAAGGTTAAAATGGAAAAGGCTGACAGACCAAGCTGCTCCGATAGCTCTTCCCTTGGTGATGATGGATATCATACTGAAATGGTGGATGGAGAGCAAGTGGTGGCAGTCAATGTTGGTTCCTATGGGTCTGTGTTACAACACGTTTATTCATTTACCCATGCCTCATCACAGGCTACAGGTGAAGCCTTTGGAAGCCTAAGCAATTCAAGTCCTTCAAGGTCTATGCTGAGCTGTTTCAGAGGGGGGCGTGCACGCCAAAAACGGGTGTCCAGTGGTCACTTGCATAGTGATGTTCAGAGCCTGGTGCAAGGGACTGACAGTGAAACCATGGTGAGTAACCCAGGATATGAAAATAGTCCACGGGAAAGAAATGCAAGAGGTCATTGGTATCCATATAATGAGAGGCTGATTTGTATCTACTGTGGAAAGTCTTTCAACCAGAAAGGGAGCCTTGATCGACACATGAGATTGCACATGGGAATAACTCCTTTTGTGTGCAAGTTTTGTGGGAAGAAATATACCCGTAAGGACCAACTTGAGTATCATATTCGTGGTCACACAGATGACAAGCCCTTTCGCTGTGAGATCTGCGGAAAATGTTTTCCTTTTCAGGGTACTCTAAACCAGCATTTGCGAAAGAATCACCCTGGGGTAACAGAAGTACGAAACCGGGTAGAGTCTCCAGACAGAACAGAGGCATTTGTAGAACAGAAAGGAGATAATGATGTTTCAGTTTCTGAAGCTATGGATTCTAGTATGGAAATTCATTCACTGTCTAACACATCTGATTAAAATCCTACATTCTAAATGCAACCCAAACAAGCACATTAATGATACATTTTTAATTTTTTTTATTCTTTCAGTAATCTTCAGTACAAGTATAACAGCCTGGAGAAGACTACATAAATGTTCGTTGTTTGTGAAGGAGGCTGTTTTTGTTTTCCATTTTGCTTGTGAAGATGCTCAAAATATATAAGACAGTGTACTGGGGAAAGGATAGGAAAAGTCTGCTAAAGTGTCCCTATTGCTTGACCTGCCAAGACGCAGCAGAGAAAAATATTAAAATAAGATGGCAGCTCTGCTGGATATACCGAGAAGCTTTAGTCTCCCTTTATTTGCTAAATCCTGTTGCTGGTAATGAGGATTATGCAGGTAGTTAGTCTGTTTATATATATAAAATTGCTTTATATATATAAAATGCTTTCACTTTTCCTATTCAGGTTGAGGTGAATGTAAAAGTATGTCAAGGTTTATACTGTGTACCGGTTTTTCAAATGCTGGGTCTTCTCCCTGCCTAGGAATTAGGACTCTGGACTTTGGGAAGATGTTTTTGGTTTTTAGAACAATGTTTGGTTTTTATTTTACTAAACTATTACTTTGTGTGCAAAAGTGAGCAAAGTAAATTACATTGTTTTAATAGCTTTGCTTTATAACATATGTAAACCAAATGCCATAAATCTATTAAGTTATGGTTAAATTGTTTGGGTTTTTGTTAGTTGTCTAGAACACAAACTGGACAACCTGTGGTGCTGACCTTTTTTATATATAGAGATAGATATAGATCTATATATATATTAAAAAAAAAAAAACAAAAAAACTATTAGCAAACCCAAAAGTAGCATTGTGGTTTTAATGTGTTTTTACTGGCCTCAGAATCTACCTTTATTTTGTACTGTAGAAACATACCAGGTAACTGAATTTAACTTCATCATTCTCTGTGGTTGGCTAATACCAACCTGAAAGGGATGGTGTAGTTTAAACTACAGTACTTCCAAGCAGTGTTGTAATGGGTCTCTTCACAGAGAACTATTTTCAGGTGCACGTTGACTTCCTGCTTACAGCTCCAAGTGATATGTTAGCACTTGGAATTTGTACTTTTTTGTATAAAAAACAAATACTCTATGGGAATTGTGAGCAATATGTCTGTTAATTTCATGTGTTAGTATTACAAAGAGTTGCTATGGCTTCCCCATTATTTCAGTGGTTGCTTTCTGCGTAAAGAAATCACCAATAACTTTAGAAGTACTCTAAATCTTTTTGTTTCACTTTTTTCTTTTTCTTTTTTTTTTTTTTTTAACATGGTGCTAACTTCATCATTTAGGTCAGTATAATATATAAAATGTGAAACCTAATGGTAACAGTGAAACAAAAGAAAAAAACAATAACTTAAGAGACCTCAAAAGCAAGAGCTGGCAAACACTACTGTGTGAAATTCTACCTGATGAGCAGAATTTGATTAATCACATATTCTTTAAAATACAGAGGAATTATGCTTTATATAATTGATCCTTGTGTTTGTTTATCGAATATTAAAAATACATATTTGAATATGTTGTTTAACTCCTGAAATTTGGAAAGTAAAAGTTCATTCCTAAGTTACATGAAAGCAGAAAGGTAGGTTTGCTATCTTGTAATGCTTTTTGGGCTCCTGTAGCTCAAATTGCTCTATGTAGATTTAAAAACAGTTTTCAGGCCCTTTGCCCATGAAATTGGGGCATATTTTGTGCAGTTGCTTTTTAAAATACACTAGTTCTTTATATTGTGACAGTCCACAACAAGGATTAATCTTACTAAATAAAGATTTAGGGTATAAACCCAACTTGCTCCATAGGAGCAGTTTCAGTTAAACTGAGTACCTAATTTGCCTTTTCGTCCTAAAACTGCCTAAATTAGGGGGTGGTGGGTGGGAAGGGTGTTTTCTTCTTGAAGTAACAATAAATTTTTTGTTTTCAATAAGGGATATTATATGTCTGTCTAGGGGAAATAGGATGTCTATATGTTTACCCTCTTAAACACATGCTGGTGTTTCTGATACTGTTTTTTTTTGTTGTTTGTTTTTGTTTGTTTTTCTGTGTTTTTTGTTTTTCTTTCTTATATGTTTTTAAAATAATTAAATGCAAAAAATGTATTTTAAAAAATTAAGATTGAGATATGCAAAATCCAAGAAATTCAGTAATTCTTAAACCCTCATCTTGTGCTGTGATGCCTTTGGTGTGACTATTTTCACGGTAGTGTAAGCTGAGGATAGCAGGATATAGGCTACTAATAATGTATTTCTTTAAATTTTGTGTGTCACAATCTTAAAGTTATTTAAATCGAGTTCTTTGTATTTGTAAAGTTGTTATAACTGGTTTGAGTTTACCAAAGAGTGACTTATCCAAAATTGTCTCTGACAAAAATAAATAAAAACAAACAAACAAAAACACACACCACTTTGATTGTACAGGTTCAGGTTTCAAATTTTGTAACAGGACTGTTAAGGGGCAGGAAATTATCACTTTTTCTACAATATCATGATCCAACAGTGTGCAAGTTCTGCTTGCTCCTATTCATTTTTATATGCCATTTACCTTTTCCACTGCTAGCAGTGTTAAGAATAATCAAGCCATAACACAGTACTGTAAAGTTAGACAGTGCTTCAAAGGATGCATACATAAAACATCACTGAGCATTATATTTACACTTACAAAGTGTGTGACTCTGGTAGAAAACGAACTTCAAACCTGGCAACAGGAGTTAAATTGTGCCTTGTCACATAATGGTATGCCAGGATTAACATTGCCATGAAACATGAAACATTATCTAATTGAAGTTCATTTCACTAGTCCACCAAGACAAAGTATGCTGTGTTATTATTAACAAATTATGGAAGTACTGTACAGCATCTTGTTTCTGTACAGTTTTAGGTTAGCACAGAGCTGTTATACATTTCATTTACAATAAATGCAGAAGTCAAAAATATGAAGAAATGTTTGACAACAAAATAAGTCATGAAATCATATAGGCTTGTTCATAATTGAGTCTCTTCTTAATCTACCTTTTTAATTATAGACAAATGTGAAAACAGTGACAGTGTCCTTTCCTCTAGATGTTTAACCCATCACAAACTGTGAAAATAAAGGATTTTATATCTTTGCTAATATTTGTGGTTTCAAACAGTTTTCTTAATCAGTTATCTTCCATATAATTTCTATTAAATTTGTAAATACATTTAGTAAATAGCTATGTAAATATTTAGAGTATATTAGAAGTTCAGTTTGGTCAATACAGCCTCAAGATTGGCTCTGCGTTTTAGTGTGAATTCTTTCAATTGCGTATAAAGGATACTGTCAATTCACTGTTCAGCAGAATATACTGTAGGCCAAAATAGGTAACTCTTAATGCATTCTTCCCAAGCATGAATTCATGCTTATGCTGCAGCCTTTGGTTGACTTTGAGACAAAACAATGAGGCCTCTTAATATGTTTAGACTGAAATTTGGGAAGGAACAACACGGACATCAAGGGCTGGGAAAAGATTGTATGAGCTTTATCTACAAAAATATATATCTTAATTGATTTTCTTTTTGTATTAGTTTACTGTGATTCTTTTATTGTCATTTTTCTAAATGATTTTCACATAAAACCATTGAAAGGGACTCAAATATGCAACACCTAATCTATTTTGCAAGGGAATTTTACCCTTGAATGGTGCTTTTAGGCTGGTCAGGGTTATTTATTAAATTTTATATTTGAAAGTATTTGGGGAATTGTGTAAATTCTTTATATGAAACTGTTTAGTTCATGAATTGTAAATTTCATAATACTCAGTGACTGAATCAAAATTTTAGTGAAGTCATTCAAAATGTTCAAATTGTATGAACCTTGTGCATTTTACATGTCTTTAAGCAAGTGCCAGAATAATTGTATTTAATATTGTAGTTTCAATATTACTTGCACATCCCTGTAAGCATTAAGTTAGTTATGCAGGTTTACATTTTAAAAAATGGTCAACAAATAAGCTTGGGACATGTGTTCCTGTTTTTCTTCAGGGGATGTGAAGCTAAGTGTCAATAACCGAGCAGGTTTGCTTGTAGTTTATATAAGTAATTCCTGCTATGGTAGATTAAATAAACTGCTGATTTTCCAATTTACATATGCTATGAATTCAACCTTTGAACTTGCATTGCAAGTCTTTGGTTGTATATCTGATTAGAAATAGAAATCATGCACAATTTTAGAACTGTTTTGTTTCTGACTGAGAAATGGTATTTTAAAATGATTTTTGTATGGTTGTTTTTCATGATAAATATTTGAACAGTTTGAATGACTTGACTTGGTGTCATTACCTTGCAATATGAACTGGTAACCTCACAACTCCACACTTCATCACCATGTGAAGTAAATGAAGCTAGCTAAGCTGATGCTGTAACAATTAATAACTTGCCATTAAGGATTATTTTATAGCATGAATTTTAAAATATTTATTCAAATGATATTTTACTCTTATATTCAATTTGTTTTTAGATTTGTGACATGAATATTTCAGTGCTGCTTTATTTTGTTCTGATGAATATGCTTCTTGCTTGTAAATTGCTTTTTTTTAATGGTATAAAGTCAATGGGAATTGCTGTTTGTAAATTAAAATGCTTCTAGAGCATATCTGTGGTGTCAGTGTCTAAATTCAGGTATTTAATTGGTAGAGGACTTGTGTTTTAACACTTCAGGAAAAACATCTTTAAAAAATTGCAGTTTAATATAGATACCCAAGTACCAATTGAAAATCAAAAGACCCTTAGAGACAAATGACACTGAAGTTCCTCTTTTTTGACAGCCTTGCTTGTTTAGTTCCGAGCAGGTAATAGTTTTGGTATTGTGCTGCAAAAACGTGTCTGATCCTGAAAGCAAACTGAAAAACCTGGAATGGTGGCGGCAATCTGCCTAACACCTGGATGCAAGTCAGTTGGGATGGGAGGTATGTTTTGTTTTCACAGCAGCTTGTTGTGTATGCTGTGTGTATCAACAGAACCAATGCTGGTCTCAGCAAGTCTAGGATCCCCGCCTAGACAAGCTCAGTTTAGCGCACGCAGCCAGCAGCTCCCTGGCTGCTTTC